CGTGGGTTCGATCCCCGGATTCCCCGGATTATTTCCGCAAGGATTTATCCGTCCCTCCCCTGGGGAATCCGGATAACAAGGGCCGCGTACGAAGACGAGGACCGAACTTCGAAGAAGATCGGTCGAAGCACGAGGTATGAAGCGTTGAGCGAAGTAAAAACCGAAGATTACACACCGCCCCTGGTCAAGCAGGCGCGTTACAATTGGCGAAGCAGTTCGATAACATGTGGTTCTTGTGTCGGCCCTGGCGGAGGAATGTCTTAAAAATGATAATCCAAACTGAATTAATCGTTGCATTATATTTCGACGAATGTCCGGTATATGTTCACACGTTGTTCAATATATTTAGAATGATGTTTCGATTTTCGAAGCAAATCAAGTAAATCGCAGCTAAAAATTGGTATTTTCGGTAGATTCGACGAACGACGTCAAATCCACCAGAAATCGTTGAGCGTCATTTTACTTGAACTAAATAAACTCACTGTGACTCCTGTCCGATACAACGTTGAACTCTTTGTGACATGGCAAAGCTTGGTAATGCACTGGATACGCCTGTAATTTGATTGATCGAAAGTTTTTTATCGAAAATTTCATTGGCTACTGTACTTCGTTCCGTCGATTACTTATCGAAATAGTTGGAACATCATTTGAAATATATTGAACAACGTGTGAAATATACCGGCTTCGGGGTGACGACATATACCGGACATTACGCTTAGTCGAAATACTAGTATAAGGGTATGGATGAAATATATTGTGAAGGCTTGTCGAACATAACGCACATGGCGTGAATCAGTTGTGCGTTGGACGAAATATACCAGAAATAACCTGAACTTGTTAAACGAAAAATGGTGTACTAACGTTGCCGGCCACCTTGTCTCCGTTGGGGAGCTTGGCCTCGTACCACGGTACGTCTTGTAGGCTGTGGCGACGGAAGCCGTGGCGAGAATGATGCTGACGAGTTGGACCATGGTCAATGTTTGGCCTGTAGGCAGACATGAAAATGGAAGCTCAACCCTCCAGCAGCGAATGCAATAAACAGACGCTGGTTATGTTGGACAATCCGATGGCATACAGTAACATTACACTGTACTGTAGTTAGTCAATTGAGCCAAGCCACAACCAAGCAAGTACCGGTACACACACTGTATTGTGAGCCAAGGAGGTATAGTACTGCACTTATTGTTACTTACCGTAACTGTTGTTACTACGTATTAATAGTAACTACTAGTAGTAGTAGTAGTACTACTGTACTAGTAGTAGTACTACTGTACTATTAATAGTACTATTGATATTCATAGTACCGTACAGGCATGACATTTTACCCTGCACAGCGAGTAAAAGGCAAAGTTTCAAGCTCTGGTTGATAACGATCCAAAGCCCTGGTGAAATTGCATCGTTCATAGCCCGACTGCGATCTTTTATCGACGATTGTTCCATCACGATTGATTGCTACACCGGAATTTGTACAGTACAATACAGCTGTGGGTTGCACCGGAATGTACTTCGAACGTTACAGGCAATCATACACGAAATCTGGTAACACTACCGGTAGGGTTCTTGATATAAGTACTTAAGACTTACTACGGTAGTATCGCGAATGGCGAAAACCTGGAGTCAGCGTTGTGGCTGCGCTCGAGGTCAGTGGGGTAGCTGTGGTCGAGGGCGAAGAAACCCCTTTTGAATCTCACCGTTCATATTGATTGTTCCACTGTCAACAAGGAATTTTGGGCACCTAATAGCATTCACCATTTAGTTTTTCCTGTAAGCATATACGAATAATCACTGGTAAGCATACGTATGCATGATATAAATCACAAAATCTCAATTACACCTGGTTGTAGAACAATCTAGTACGTTACTACAGTGTACTGTAGCACTGTATTGCATTCGCCGCTGGAGGGTTGAGCTTCCATTTTCATTTCCGCCTTCAGACCAAACATTGACCATGGTCCAACTCGTCAGCATTGTTCTCGCCATGGCTTCCGTCGCCACAGCCTACAAGACATACGTGGCCAAGCTCCCCAACGGAGACAAGGTGGCCGGCAACGTCGCCATCGGCCACGACAACCCTTCTGGCGGGGGGGCTCGCAACCCATTTGGCATTGCGTTTTCGTCCGCGGGGGGAAAGTGGACCCCTGAGTTGTGCAAAGCCGACTCGGACAACGACGGCGCCACCAACGGCGAAGAGCTGGGTGACCCTTGCTGCACGTGGACTGTGGGCTCTTCATTGGTGTCTGGAATCAAAGCCACGTCCCCTGGCACTGCCGACAAGTTCACCCCGGACCAGCTGACGGCTCTCAAGTGTTCGACCACTTCCTTGTCAGGTGGCAACTCCACCAAGAAGTCCGACGCGCCCCCCGCGGCCACGATAGTTGCCCCGAAGCCTTCGAGCGCAGCCACAATGTCGACTACAGTGGCGGTTGCTGTCGCCGTGCTTGTAGCCGTCCGCCAATAAACCACAATGTACCATGTTAGCGTTAAATATTGGTGGTTTAAGCCACAGACTTGATCGAGTTTATATTGCTGAGCTGTCTTGCATCACAAGTTGTCGATAACGTTATTCTTATTGACTGGCTTACGTTCGTCGTTGAACCTGTCGAGATGCTCTTAAGTGACGTGCAACGCAAATGAAACTCCAAAAATAGCTCCATCATTACTAGAGTTTCATGCATCCAAGATGAAAACGACTGGCGACACCACGTCGCAAGCCAAGCCGACACCGGCCTCCCCCACACCCTCAGGCAAAGCCACTGCTGCATCTACAACCAATGCATCTGCGCCGTCTAAATCATCAGTCACACCATCCGCAACATCGGTTCCTGCCACGAACACTGTCAAACCATCTTCAGTACCACAAGTTGCAGCAACTCCTGTGGACAAGAAGCCTGCTTCTACACTACCAGCGGCGGCAGATGCTCTGAAACCTACCCCGGTGGCTCCCGCTACTGCCACAAATCAGCAGACCCCTACAGCTCCAAACACAAATACCCCCACGCCTTCGACGATCCCACAAGAAGGTTCGGCAACTCCTATGGATGAAAATCTTGCATTAGAACAACCCGTCAAAGTTCCCAAACCAACCTCGTCGCCTGCTACCACAACTCCACTTGCATCGACAATGTCCACCGGTGGCACCCACCCTCGGCTCCATGTCCCGAGCTCCATGGCGTCCATCTCGTCGTCGTTTCAAGAGTACGTGGACGACATCGAGCCCGACTCCATCGCAGACGACCTCGCCCACCACCGCCGCATCCACCATGCCGTCGCCCATCCTTCTCTGGACTCGCACGTCTTGTTTTTGCCGTCGACGTCCGTTTCCACAGTGAATTCCCTTCTCGACGATGCCCTCAAACACTTGAGTTCACTCACCCCCGCCGACGACGTTGCCCTTGAAGACAAATACCACGACATATGGGCCGACATTGAAGCCGACCGGGCACGAACGCTTCGGGGTTTGCTTTCGCGAACGTTCCGCTCTTGGGCCGCCACGTCAAAAGTGCGCCATGTCGCTAGGCGCCTTGGGCAACATGGCCACAAACGTCGGGTCGCGCGGTGTTTCCGGGCGTGGCGCCGACGCAGCACCCAGCGACACCACGTAGCCCTCAAGTTTGCGCTGGCCATGGAGGCGTTTCAATTGCGATCGCTCCGTGCGTGGGCAAAGCACCACTCCCGCTCCAAACTCGTACTGTCTGATTTCGTGTTAGTGTTGGTGACTGGCAAACACTTGTCCGTGTATGTAGGTACACCACAAGCACTCCCGCGCACGTGCGAGGCACTTCAAGGGCATGTTTCTAAAATGGAAAACATTCTCGTCGCGTCGTCGATGCGCTGGAAAGTTGGCCCAAAAGCACCACCGAGCCACGATCGATCGTTGTTTTCACGAATGGAAGGCGACTGCGGCCATCCGCCGGCAACAACGGCGAGCGGTTCTCCGGCTGGGGCACACGTTGGGGAGCGCCCAAGTGGGTCGTCGGTTCGTCAAGTGGAAGCAACAGGTGGTGGCAAGTCAAATGGCCGACGTGTTCCGACATCGACGCCACCAACGGGCACGGGACCTTCAGCGCGACATCTTTCGACGGTGGCGGCGGCGCGCGAGGCTCGTCATCGTCGCCGGCCGCCGCTTCGACAATGTCCATAATCGACAGATGGGTCGGTGCTTTCACGACTGGAAGACCCAATGGCACCAGCACCGCACGCTCAAACCCGCCACGTGGACCTGCGACACGGTGGGGCTATGGCTCGCCGCGCTGTTCCAGCTCCCCCCGGACGCCGCCCGAGCATGCCAAGCGACCGGTCACGAGCTTCTGTCGCTGCCGTCGCGACTCTCCACCATGTCACTGTCCCAGAAGAGCCCCCACACAAATAGTGTGTTGGAAAAGCTGCTCCCGACGCTTCCGCTGTTCTTTTGTTCGGCGGAACATCGCCTCCAGCTCGTGGACGGCATCGCGTCCTTGTCCAAAACCAATGCCACGCGCTTGTCCAAGGACATTTTGACGCAGCAACGGGTAGCCAAGCTGGACGATGTTCACGACTTTCTCGGTCTCCGGTATGCAGGGCCAGTCAAACGAGTCGACAGGAAAGGTGTAAACTTAGTTGCTGGTAGGCACTGGTGTGCGCAAGACCGAGAACTCATCATGTACGTGCGGCAACTCGATAGCGTGGGCCTGCACATGTTTCTGCAGCTGGAGCCTGACGATCTTGGGCCGGCGCTCAAGTGTCACCGCCCAGAGCACGTGGCGCTGCTTTTGGCAGGCCAGCGCCGCCTTCAGTTCCTTCAGGTTCGTATTTCTTTGATTCCAAACTTTCATTTGTGTGTGCTACATCTGTATGACCATTCGATTGTTACCAACCAGACGGCACAACCCGTGTCCACCCCGAACGCGGCCCAAGCAGCCGACGAGTTCAATCTCTCGACGTGGCTGCATGCGATGCACTTGAGTCTGTACGAGCCCTCGTTTCGACAACATGGCATCACGTCCGCCTCTCAATTGAGTCAGCTCACGCCCGACATCCTACGACATACGCTGCACATCCCGTCCAAACTCCACCGCGATCGGATCTTGCAGTTTGCCGCTGGCCTTTATGCCAACCGAACCAATCAGCCACCACCAACCGCCAAGCAAGGCCCGGCCTTTCGCATGCAGCTGGCCCTCTCCCACATCGACACGACGACGTCATCCCCCGTGAAAGCCAAACCCACCAGGTCGGCCACCTTGGCCAAGCAAGTGCGGACGCTCTTATTCTCCATTTGCCGATGGCTGGAAGCCCAGACGCCGCCGCAACGTGCGACGTTGGACTCGCTCTATGCAGCGATGCAAGCGACGTCGCAAGGTCACGTCACCAAGACCAGCTTTGCTCACGGACTTCGAGCCATGAACGCTGGCTTTACCAGTGCCCACGTGTACGTCATTCAGCATCACCATGACTACAAGATCTAGACATCTTCTATCTGGCTACTACTCACAGTCAATTTGATCACGAACGGGTGTTTGTACTGGATGCTTGACAGTGATAAATATGTGACCAACTATGATTGGGCTAAAGTCCAATGGAATGCGACCAAGTCGGGAGGATTCAGACTGACAGAGTTGTTGTGGGTAGTCATGCAATGTGGGAAGCGTTTCCGCGAGCCAAGACAGACGGGCGGGTTGGCTACGAATCGTTCGTGCGGTTCTTTGTCGACGTGTTTAACCAACGTCGCATGATGCTACAGCTGGCAGTCCATACGCTGGGCGGAGACAGCGGTGAAGTGCCTCGAGGTGGTGAGGCCGCGAGCCAGCACCTATCGCAACTGCTGCACGCACTGGCGCGAACGGACGACATCTTGGCCCGAGCAGGCATGAATGTGCGATGAAGCGAGCATCTATGAGGAATGCGCGGACCAAGCATGGGGACTCGTATCGGTTCATTGGTGTCGATATAGAGAAGTTGGAGGTGGTTTATTGAGGTGAATTACAGCGTGGCCGTCGCTTATGCATGGGGGTTTCGCAAGACAAGAATGACCGAGTCGCCACGCAGGAACATTTTGCTGATGAAGCGCTCGACGTTTTTCGGCTTGCCCTTACCTTTAGTCGACTTGGGCACTTCGGTCCACATTTCCTTGACGTTCTCCAGCACCCTACATGGCACATGACCAGTGAGACCCAAGCCCAAAGCCACTGTATGGGAAATTGAGCCTCGTGTATGGACGTACATGTTGCAGTGACGGTCGAACGCCTTGACGCGGGCCAATAACTTATGATTGTTGCGCACGTTGATGAGCACTTGGGAATTGTTCTTGACACTTTGCATCAAAACGGACAGAGGGCCGGTCAAGAAGTCTTCTTCTTCTTCCTTTGTGCCGGCGCGCTTGTCGTCAATCCTACGTGACGATGAAGGATGAGTTTTCGATGCATGTCCATAGCCATCGTATAGCATCATACGTCGCCATGTTGAGGAGATCCTGTGTGGGAACAAATATTCGAGCTGTTCTCCACCCTTGCTTTCGCCCAATTGGGGGTACTTTTATTATATTGCTTAGTGTATTATTTTACATTTTTCACATTTTTATCTAAACATTTGGCACCTTATACAAGTTTTGCAATATAATTTGCATTTTATTGAGCTTGCAATACTCCATGAATGCATGCTTCTCACAATTAATATACAGTATTTGGAATTGCAAGCTGTCAAGGCCATCATAAAACCTGTGGCATTGCATTCTTTTGACCTCCCGTACTCGAGGTTTGGTTGGCTCGCGCGACTACACCCTGACGGAATCGGTGGAGCAACTTCAATATCTGCCGCTTCCACTGCCGCCTCGATGAAAGTCAAGACGATCTCTCGTGTGGAACAGACGTTCACACAGGAACTGGCGACGGATCGCACCAAGATTCATCGCAACTTTGACCCCAAGCTGCATCCTTTTGAACGCCCACGCGAAGTAGGGCTCCCAGATCGTCGTGTCGTGTGCTAACGTCGCCATCATCTCTCTCTAGTACACGCGTGCGTTGAATGCTGTCAAGCTCGACAAACTGTTTGCCAAGCCATTCGTGGGCGCGTTGGACGGCCATTGCGACAGCGTGAGCTGTTTTGGTACGTCCAACAAGAGTTTGGTCCAGTTCGTGAGCGGAGCGTGCGACGGTGAAATCCGGTTGTGGGACCTGCCTCGCCGCAAGTGCGTGTGGTCGGTGTACGGGCATGCCGGCTTTGTCCGTGGGTTGACCGTCGCGCCCGACGGCAACTCGTTCTTTTCGTGCAGCGAAGACAAAACGATCAAGCAGTGGCGCATGGCGATTGCGAACGAGGACGACGCGCCCGAAGCCATCCAGACGTTCCACGGCAAGGAATCGTTCATGTACGTCGACCTCCTTCGATCCTTCTTCGTTGTTGAACGTTCATGTAGGGGCATCGACCACCACTGGACCAACTCGACGTTCGCAACGTGCAGCTCGGTGGTGCAAGTATGGGACCACAACCGGTCGGACCCGATCCACAATTACTCGTGGGGCGCTGACTCGATCACGAGCGTCAAGTTCAACCCGGCCGAGGTAGATGATGGATTCTTTATTTCATTTATTTCATCTATTTATAATCTGAATTTCGAACTAGCCGAGTCTGCTGGCATCGACGGGGTCAGACCGCGCGGTGGCATTGTACGACACGCGTCTCGCCCAGAGCATGCGCAAGATCGTGATGGACATGCGCAACAACGCGTTGGCATGGAACCCCATGGAGCCGTACCACTTTACGGTCGCGAACGAAGACCACAACCTGTACACGTTTGACATGCGCAACTTGGATCGCGCGCTCATGATCCACAAGGATCACGTGTCTGCCGTGTAAGTGTTTCTTGGTGTGATGATGGCGGTCCTAGAGGAGAGATGGAGTGGGGGGAAGATGATGTTGATGTGGTGGTGATTGCAGGATGGACATTGCGTACTCGCCGACGGGCAAGGAGTTTGTGAGCGGATCGTACGATCGCAGCATTCGCATCTTCAACGTCCGGAGCTCCAAGAGCCGCGAAGTGTATCACACCAAGCGCATGCAACGGTATGGACGTGCCTGCCGATGGAAAAAATGATTTTGTGTGTGTGGCCTAGGATTTTCGCCGTCAAGTTTAGTGCTGACGCCAAGTTTGTGTTGTCGGGCAGTGACGACACCAACATTCGTATCTGGAAGGCACAGGCGTCTCGTTCGTTGGGCAAGGTACGACCTTGGAGTGATTGAGCGACGATGGAGAGTCTGATGGAAGAACATGATGTAGTTGAACCCCCGTGAACGCAAGAAGCTTGAGTACAACGACGCGTTGAAGAAGCGATACCAGCATCTGACCGAAGTCAAGCGCATTGCCAAGCACCGCCATGTGCCCAAGGCCATCAAGAAGGCCACGGCAGCCAAGCAAGAGGTCAAGGAGCGCGAGACCATCAAGCTTGCGAACGTGCGGAAGCATTCCAAGCCCGGCAAGGTGCCCCTTGTGGACATCCGCAAGAAGAGTGTCATTCGCCAAATCGAATAAATATTGTTTTTTATCCAATCAGACGTGTTGGATCTTGAAACGTCGTCTTTTATCCGGATAATACCCTAATTTCACGCAAACCTCTCTCCCGTGACCTGCGAAACACAGGATCACATGGTACCCAGCGTCCTACCATTGTAATGGCATAAAGCAACAATTGCGATGGGCGCCGACATACCCGACTCATCATCGACAAACCCTCGTCCACCGCTCCCGCTGGCCGCTCGACGAAGGCACGTTAGCATCCCTCCCTTAGATATGTCATGTCTGGGGTCGCCAAGGTCGCCTTTTATCGGACTCAGTGCGTCCGAGCGGCGTCGGCACGACAAACAGCCATCCTTCCGTCGACGTGTATCTCAAGCCAGCACAGGTATGGCGGCACGATTACATGTCCGATGTACTAACATAAGTCTGCCTGTAGCTGATCCGAACGGACAATGGTGGTTGACCGATGATGTGCCTCCATAGTTAAATAATACTAACCGCTGTTGTCACGTGTACTGAATAGAAAAAGTGGGTTTATCGTTTACATGCTACTATGTTTTCGCCGCGACAAGAAGCCATATGGGTCGGCCAGAGGTGGAGACAAGGGTGGGCCACCACCTCGACGGGGGTCATGATTGTAGCTTTCGGGGCGACGGAGAGGGTGATCGTGCTTTGCATAGCTACTCGGACCACGGCCTGCCACGTCATGTTCGTATGGCCTTCGTGCGTCCTGGTGATCACGGTGGTATGTGTCACGGTGGGGGTCAAATGCCAGGTGTGGCTGCTTACGACTCCCTCGTCTGCCACCGCCGTCCCCTTCGAAACCGTCTCGTCGGCGCGGATCGTGGTCGTATTCATCTTGCCAGGAACGATGACGATCATCGTGTTGGCCTATATTATGAGTTGTCGAGTAGTAGTCGGACGGATGCTGGTGGTGATGGTGCTGCTGGCGTCTGTCGATGAAATCCAAAGCTGGGTCGTACGGTGGTTGTTGATCGTATGTATGGTTCATGTACGATGGCTGCGATGGCACGTGGATGTTGAGTCGGCTTTTCGTTTCCTCTTGATGAAATGGATGGACCCGGGGTGGCGCTGACCGGAGTTCAGGCTCGTTGTTGTGATGTTTCGTCATGGACGGCCGGCGTGCGAGTTTGGGAGCGAGGGGTTTGTTACCCCCCCCTGCGGCAGTGGAATTACCACTAGCCCACTCTCGCTCCGGCATCGTCGGCACCGTAGCAGACGCCACTCGATCCTTGGGTTGTCGGTAAAGGTCGTCGGACGTGACGTACCCCCCGTGGTCGTTTCGTCCTTTTCTAACGTCAGATTGTCCAGCGGTTGACTGGTTTTTCAAAAACGCTTCGATTGCATGGCGCAATAACGTGATGCGGTAGAACGACGCTTCGTAGTACCTGTGCAGAATGCCATCGCGAAATGTGGTGTCAACAAAGTGGGGGGGTTTCTAGGGGGTATGAACACTCACAAGTCTCGCAAGACGTCGATGGAATCGGGCAGGGTCTTGTCACGCAGGAACGCGTAAATGTACTTGAAGATCCACCAGTCCCGGTCAAAGTAAAAGTGGCCGCGGCTGTCGCGCGCGAGCTTGGGCGTGGCGGTGCACACGTGCGCCAAGATGGAAAACCGGTCGCGCGTCCACACTTTGACGGTGGATTTGAACAGCTACGGGCCACAAACGAGTGTGACATTACGTGACACAGGAAGGATGGATGGAGGGGGGGGGTGTTCGTTGTAGTTCGAGTACTTTGCCGCCAATGTTGAACTGCACCATCTCATCCTCTGGCAGAAACGCAAACTTGTCGTGGACCATGGCTTCAAACCTGTGGCCACCATATGAGACATATTGATGTCCTTTGTAATGAATGTGGGGGGCGTACGTGGCGCGGTCCTGTTCGTAGCACTGCTGGTACTTTTCAATCACGACCCATTCTTCGCTGAGCTTCTTCTTCTCTTGAGCCAACTACAATCACGACAAATGAGCATGTATGTATGTAGCTAGCTAGCAAGCATGTTGCTGTGGTGGATGGTTGGAACGCACAGCTTTGTCCTCTTGCTCAAGCGACTCCCACACGTGTCGATATCGGTCCCTAGCATACGTGATCACTTCGAGCTAGAAATGGCGTTGACGTCTCGGGCTTACTTGAAGTCGTCGTCCATGGTCGGCGATAACACAACCTTTCACTAGAATCGTGAAATCTGAAACCCCCACCAGACAATTTTGTCATGGCCTAAAATTTAGGCCCAGTTGAATTTCCAATGACAGACGACTACTCTACTATTTTGCGCTTTGTACCAATTGATTCTCTGGACGTTAAACCAATATGTTTTGCGTGTTGAGTCTACCTAAGCCTTCCGCAAAAGTCTCGGGACACAATGAAGATTCATCATGATTTGCGTAGATTATATATTAGGATAGTTGGGCGGCAGGGCAAATCTAATGGGGCGGTCACACTACAGATCGACAGGACTGGGTGACCAAGCAATAAGCAATGGGATAAAATGTAAAGAGTAGCGTCGACAGCTCATAAACACAGGTGTTCTCTCAACACGGGTACGCAAGGGTAATTGCATTCAGTGTGGTGCATAGATTGTAATCTTTGCTGGCGACAATACATGAAATGCAGGCATGACATACACACAAGTACTAACTAGTATGTACTGTAGTAGAGTCTCAGGATGATAACACAGAATTGAAATCAACACGGTTGAATTAAGGAGGTGTAAGGTTTCATCATAGTACTCTACTACAGCTACACACACATGCATTTCGACGGGAAAGGATAAGCGCTTTAGGTGTTGTCATGCTCCACAATATTGTTTCTATCATAGAATCAAAGACACAGGAAAAAGTGATCGTCATCACCTCCGTTCCGTGGCTACATACTACGTGACTACTACATGAACAAAGGATCTTTGATATGCTCATATGGTGATGCATGTTATGATTCCACATTAATATTTCAGAACAGGTCTGTATAACAATAATCCTAGCACGTCCTTTGGAACAATCAATATAAATGCAATATGCATTGGAGAAGCTCATATGGTGATGCATGTTATGATTCCACATTAATGTTTCAGAACAGGTCTGTATAACAATAATCATCGCCTCCAATATAAACAAGTTCAAGTCAGATATCTAAAGGATCTTCATCATCATAATCGTGAAGGGGAATCCATAAAGTGTATCATCCCTCTTGAGCACATATATATATATATATATATGCACGTTTATGCAGATATGAAAATGAGCTCATAAACACAGGTGTTCTCTCAACACGGGTACGCAAGGGTAATTGCATTCAGTGTGGTGCATAGATTGTAATCTTCGCTCAAGTATATATATATGCAAGCTACAACTACTTTGAAGATGTCAGCAAGACTTTGTTGATGCTGCAGTACATG